GACTCGTCAACCACTCTGTGAGTGGGAGAGTCTGTGATATGGTCCATCATGGCAGGAGGGTGAGGTGATTTCAACTTTGTTTTAGTAGGTCAAACATCTATACATATGTCTCCTTAAAGGAACAAACTAGATATGTTAGACAACTCAGGATGATCACCCTGTGTGTGCACTTTTGAGATACTACTTTCTGAAGTTGTTCTACATTCCCATGTGGTAGCATTTCTGAATCCCTTCTAATCACATCACAGGAGAAAAAGGGAGAAACACATCATAATTCTGTAAGTAATTCAAAAGACTGCAGTGCCATTGTGTTAGTGGTATTGTAGAACAAACTATTTAGGAATAGCTAATTGCTTTCATATTTTTGTTTATATTCTTCTCCCCAAATTAGTGTGGACTGTTGCAGTTTCTTATAATAAGAAACTTCAACAAATGGAAATTGGCTTTTCTCTGAGTTGTCTTAGAATAAATTATATGTTTTCAGAGGAAAGACAGACATGCCTGAGGATAAAGTAAGGTATGGTATCTGTGCACACTGGATAGAAATCTCTATAAATATGGTATTGGTCTCGTGCATACTTAAAAGATTAGTGTCAACACAGGTTATCTGTCATGTAGGGGCAAGTCAAGCAAGTTAGACCTGCCTCAGGGATGGTTTACCCTGTATATCCAACTATTCAGACAATGTTGCTGGGGCTATTTTGGAAGAAAAGACTGAGGGATGATTTTTCCATCACTCCAGGCTTCCCATTCATTGGTATTGTCTCCATTTCTTCCATTGGGCTTTGATGGGTACAGGTGATGGGTGTCCTGTTTGTCTTTAGGATAAGTAAGACCTAAATGGAGCAACATCTCCCCCCCAGCCCCTCTTCCCCAAGAGGAGTTTGATGCAGCCTGTGCATCAGTTGCACAGTGGATGGAACACACTGGAAGTAGATGATGCATTTAGTCCATGTGGACATTTTCTGTCACTGGGCAATTTCCAGGGCATTTAATATTATATTTTTAGTTATTTTCTGTAAATTTTATTAATATACTTGGCTTACTTCTTTGCACAGCTACATGTTTTATGGATTAATGGTGTATGGGTGCTTTGCATAGGAAATTCCATGTTGTAAAAGTTCAAGAATAATTTTTGTGGTATAGGCTATAATGTGAACCTTTATAAGTACATAGCATTGAAAAATTTGGGAAATATGTAGTTGGGGAAGCTTGACAGCTCAAGAATCATGTAGGAATTAATTTATTTCTCTGTACCACATGAAAAAATATATGCTTCTCCTAGCTCCACAGAACTTTTATTTGGACCCACTGATAATGTAAGCCAGCTTTCATTTGTCTAAGTAGTAATGTAAAATAGTATGTAAAAATTAGCTGATGAGATCATGGTAGTATGAAGGTCTTTTCATTGGTTCATTTAACTTTGGACTGATTATAAACATAACTACTAATTAATTTTGCGTGTTCTTGTTAATTATAATGACATTCAGTAGTGCTCATCTGGTTATGAGCTCCTGTGTGTCTTTCTATCACGGAAATGTGAAATCCTGAAATCAGGAAGAAAGGTAGTGTCTGTACTATTTGCAGTTCTGCAGTTTATATAATATTCTTCAAAAATTGTATTTTTTGCAGTTTAAATTAATATGTTGAAGGAGTTTAAATATAATTAAAATACACAGTCTACTAGGTAAATTTACATGTTTTCGTACTTTTAGAAGCTATACATTATAGATTGTAAGTGATGTATTTTCAAATAAATTTCAAGACCCATTGACGTAGTGCAATTTAAGACTTATTCAGAAGTCCTGCTATGAATTAAGAGGTTTTTTAATTGTGTGAGTCCTATATGATAGAGAGTTGGAAGCTACAGATACCAGCGAATGTTTATGTCTTTAAAATACTAAACAGTCTCTTCAGCAAGTCATTTTTGCTTTAGTGAAACCAGTGGTGATTTTGGCTCAATTGATCTGACTGAAAACAAGCATACCTAATATTAACAATAGATAGCCCTCAAGCAGGTCCTAAAATTTTCTTGCATGCTTTGGTGAGTAGTGCTTCATCAGAATATTTTATACAGATACCCACCTCAAGCAGTAATGCAGTTTGAACCATTTTTACTCTAGAAGAAATCTGAACAAATTTGAACAATCTGAAATAATGACACATCATGGCAACTTGATCTATCAAACAGGAGAACTGCTTAAGTGCTGTAGTGCACTTTGGTGGGATTATTTACATTTTAAAAAATACAAAAAAACACCAAGGAGGCAGGATAAGAAGTAAAACCATGTAGTCTCAAATCAAAATACTATCTTAGAGGCAGTGTACGAACATATAACAGGTAAACTTATCCTAATGATTTGTGATCTAAATGTGAAATAAGCTAAGATGTGATGGCAGCAAGTAAATGAATGAGTTAAAGAAATAGCCTGCAGCACATGGGCATTGTATTTATTTAAGTCAAGTTTCTAAGTCTTCATCCAGGAATGAATTTGACTTTCATTTTAATTAAGTATTCTAGGGATTTCTGACACAACTATGACAATTAACATTCTGTCAGGATGCTTTTAAAGCTTCGGTTAACAAGGTCTGTGAATTTGTAAATTTTTAAGGCTCAGATGGAATTGTTAGATGTTGGAGAATGGGAACGTATCTCTGTAAGCACTGTCAGTAGGGGAGAGGTAAACAATTAAAGCTCTACCTGCTGGTACCCAAGGGATGGAATCTTCTAGTTCAGGTGGAAGGTAGAGAAATGTTAGTGTTAGACTGGAATAACAGGTTTTAGGATGCTTACAAAAATCAAAACAGGTAAAAGTTTATAACAGAAGTAATATTATTTTTTAGGAGTCTTCTGCCTTTGTCAGGTAAACCACACTGAAATGTGTCATAAATGAAACAGAAGTCAATAGATAAGATTCTAAAGATGAAAATTGGCATAGTTAAAAAGAGAATTGGTAGGCAAGACCTGCTCTCTGTCTGTGACCTGTCACACCTACTTTGTGCATCCTCACCGATTTAAATATTTCTTACTGATTTCTGAGAAAGTATAGAAATCCAGAAATAGATCAAATAAAATCTTTCAGATTAGTCTTAATATGAAAAAAAAACTACAATCATTAATTAACAAAAATACTATAATGAAAAATTTCTTCTGAAAAGGCTTTATCTCAACAAAATGGGTCCTATTTTGGTACAGGATTTCATGTATAATAACTGTCTGGCTATAATGACTGTCTGGCTATAATAACTGTCATCTATAATGACTGTCCTGGCTTTATTTCTGAGATGAAGCGCTAAGTGATGTTTGTTACACTCCAAGCTAAGAGAACTGATGATTTGAAAATATTTTGGTGTAATGGAGTATAGGAAAAAAAAAGAAATACAGAATATTTGCATTTAAAGCTTACATATTATCTGTCAACAAGATGTAGTGTTGAAGAAATAACTGTAATGTGTATTTAGGTCTAGAATTCAGGCACACAAGAAACTTCAAAGACAGAGGCATAGCTATTTAGAGGCAAAACTGCAACCTTTTAATGGGAAATAGGTCAGTGAGATGAATGCTTTTCACTCAGTTGGCTGGACATTTACATTGTGGATCCAGGGTGTCCACATGACCATCAAGCAAAGTTTCATTGACACATATTTTACTTTTCGAAAACTTTTAAGAATTACCACCCACCTTCACCTCCTCATATTTGCCTTAGGTTCCTTACCTGTTTTTTAACATTTCCTTCTCTTTTTTGCTTTGTATAAAGCTCATAAGATATCCTTCTCATTTCCCAGTGCTGTCCTACTGTGCAGGGGTTTCATGAAGTGTTTATTTCTCCAGCCTGTCATTCTTTGCTCTCCCTTCTTCACTTGCTCTACTACAGAGGCTGCCAGGTAGCTTTCAGTTTTCTAGGAACTTCGACCTTCCCAGCAGGTTTGGTTACACTCTACAAACAAAGGAAGCAGTTAGAACTGCAGCTCTTTTAAATGTCCAAACATCTTGTAACAAAGTGTGTATTAATAATGCCAGTTGGAACACAGATTTATTTTTTTCTTAAACTGTGGGAAAGAAGTCTTTTCTTTAAAAAATTTTTACATTCATTTTACTCTTCAGCCTGCTTCTGTCTGACCTTGTCAGCAAGAGAGAATTGCCAAGAGGCACCATCGAGAGGCTGGTAGGATCTACTTCAGAGATAGCAGAGTTTCAGGCATTAAGTCTGTGTCTATATTAGTAAATTAAACAATGCCTGGAAATATTTCCATGTCTCTGCCACAGTGAATGTCTTTGCAAACTAACATTGTTCCAGAAAATTCCCGGACATTTATTTGACCACCTCCATCAGACAATTTTTATGGAACCCTTCTGTTTCAGAGCATATGTGACTATGCTACATGGGTGTAGGATTATCCTACATCCTACATAGATAGAGGATTGTCTGTGACAATTGATTTCAGGCAAGAGAAATGTGCTGAGGCATAGGTGTAATATAAATGTTCTACAGACCTGCATGTTCCTTATTTCTTCTGCCTTGTCCAACCTTCTCTCTTCATTGCAGTCTTCCAGTCTCAGCTTCAAAGCTGGTGGTTTTTTTCCTTTTTGCTTGTCCTTTTGTCCTTCCTAGCACACATACAGATTTAAATTTTATTGGCATGCTGTCTCCCAGCTTCTGTCCCTTCCTTCAGATTACCCTGTGGACTTACTGGTAGTGATATTGTTTGCAGTTCTCTGCCTGAAACAAACTACTTCAGGGAAGCCTTCGTTTTGTTTGCCCTTGGTTACTACAATAATAAAAATAGAATAAAAACACAGGACTAGAATTTGAGTGATGCCTTAGCTGTCACTCTGCTGCATGGAAGAAACTTGGTGAACAACTATATTTCTTTGTGGACTACCTTTAATCTTATTACTTGTTAAGAGAACAAATTAGAGGGAATGATTAAGCCAGATTCTATGTTGGTTTTGTTAAATGATTCTAAATAACTGTAAACATTTCTCTCTGTTTTGTCAGGATTGTGGTACTAGAATTGATCTTGGACATCACTTCAGTTCAAGGTTGAAGTTAAAAGGTCCTTTTTGAGGCTTAGAAGAAGCAGGTGAGTACAAATCAATCATCACAAATCAAAGAGAATTTTTTTTGCAACTTCCATTTGTGCCAGTATTGCAGTTCTTGCTTACCAATCCAGATTCAGCTAGGTGGTCTCTGCTTTCCCTGATGCACTGAGATGTATGACTGCTTGTATTGGGACTAGATAGCAGACAATATCTGATTCATTTAGCATTTCCCTACATACCTTTTCATGAAAATAGGTGAAACCGTGGTTCTGTCACCAAGGTCTCTGGAACTCTGGACTTAACTTACACTGTGCAGTTTCATTACATCAGCTGTATTAGGAGTATGATAATTAGGCTAATTTGTTTTGAAAATTGACTTAGACTGTATCTCTTGTGAAAAATAGAGTTTTAAAAGGAAAAGACACTATAATAAATAGTGAAGAATTCCTGAGTTTGGATATTCCTTGTTTCTTGAAACTAGGATGGTCTTTATTCCTTTGGTAACCAGTAATTCCATCATGTCAAGGATATAAGATCAAGCCTTATTTCAGCTGCTGTGTGTGTTAACAGGCTGAACCTGCCTGGGACAGCACACTGTCAGTGGGTACAGTGCCACTGGGGCCTTGGCATGCCTGCACCGAGGACCTTGCTTTGCTCCACAGCTATCTTCAGTGCGTCATGTACAAGTGGCTATCAGGTCTTTTTAACTTAGACTGGAAAAGGAGATCCTGAAGGAGTTAGTGTAAGATGAGAGCTTAGCAAGGCAGTCACGTTTATTTTGGGGTTTTCATAATTGCTCTTGCAACAAAAAAAATGTTGAGTGTTGCAGTTGTTCATATTCTACATTTCCTACGGAGGTATAAATTTTTTTGAGAATATGCCCAGAACTTTTCAAATTCAAAGTTTTTAGGCAATATTTCAACATATAAATTGCAAAATATGGTCAGTTGGGCCTGGTACTAAATTTTTATGATACAGATGTCAAGAGGGTGCAACAAACTTGCCAAAATAGTAACCAGACCAAATTCTTCTGCGTACACCAGGAATTAGAAACAAATATGTCAATACAAATAATATGCTATGTGTACCAACTGCTAAAGTATTACTAGATACTCTGATATACCCATATACTCCATAATATTGGTATATCCATCTTAATGTATTGATGCCTCTGGAAGGAAAGAAGAAACAGCTGTTCCACAGGAGTTAATGATGATGACAGTAATCAGTCCTGAAACTATGTTTATAACAAGTTTTTTGACGTTTTACCCTGTGTGAAGAAGAACAGCCCTTTTTGACCTAGTTCAAACTAGTGCAAAAGAAGACTGTTCTGGTGCGTGTTTCACTGTGACTGTCTTCAATGGGTAATAAGAAAGGAAAATTCCTTTATTCTGATTTAACTTCACCTTTTTCCAAGGAGTTAAGGCACTGGCTGGAAGGTTACAGTATGAATATGGTGAAGCCAGGAAAAGAAGGAAGGTTAGGTGTAAATGTTGTAAGTCAAAGGCTATACAGCACTATACAGGAAAAATGTAGATATTACTGATATCATGTGCAAACCTTTACATGACTATATGTTAGTATGTAGAAATATATTTATTTGCAAAACAGTGGGGTTTTCTTCATTATTCAGTAGAAAAAAAAAGTGAGAAATATCAGATTCTTTGCTTTCTATGTAGCAATGGAAATATGGCTGGATTTCTGTGACATTTCTATTTTTACTTGCCTGAATGGTGTAACTTGTATGTAGTTATGTTAGATAGTTTTTTGATAGTGTCAGTATTTTGGAAAACTGATAGAAACTGGAGTTTGATGGAAACTGTAGTTTAAATCTGTTGAATCAGCAAGGGTGTTTTTGTTTTTAAAGGATATTTTCTCTGGAAGTTTTCTATGTTCTGACAAATAATGGCCAAAATGCAGTGTAACTGAGTTGTGCAACTCTGATATTTTGGCAGTACAACTTTATTGAATTCCAGTATGTCTCCAACTTAAAGCATATGAAAGAAAGTAACTGCTGTTCTGCTTCCTCCATTATTTTCTTCCATAACTTTAAGTTAAATATATTCTATAAAAATGCTTTCTGTAAAGGAAGCCAAAATCTTTTTGGCCTTTTTAGTGTTGGTCTCTATTTCTTGCAGTATGTGAAAGTGGAGAAGGAATGTTTTTGCAGTTAATGAGGAAACAGTAGTAAATTCTGAATGCTAGTTCTTCAGTATGGTATTTAAAATCAATAGGTTTTTTTATGGCAGGATATGGTGTCTTTGAAATGATTGAAAACTGAGATTCAGTTATAAATGTAGTGATAGATGTGCATAAAAATGAAATTGCAATTATGAATACATTTTTAATCAACAGAGAGAAAAAAATGTTTGTTTTTTGTCCTCTCAATAGAACACTTAACTCTATAGGAGTAAGTTTTAGAAAAACTGAGACAGTGGTCTAAGAAATGTGAAAGCAAACATATTCTGTTTTCTGACTGATGACTCAAATAGACAGTTTTGAGACTGCTAGTGATACATTTACATCTATGTTTTCTGAGTTACTTAGGCTTTGAAAAAAAAGTGAAATAAATGCTTGTATTAATGATTATTAAATTGATCTAGCTCTTCTGTGTTGTCAGGTTGGAGAGGAGGAGACATTGTGCTCATTCCAGTTTATTTCTGGTACTACAAAACTTGGAAACAAAAACTTGAAACGTCACGGCTCATGTACATGTATATGCACACATTTTGTGTACTGTGGAATATTTAGTCTATATGCATGTGATTATTTTGTAGAGGGCAAACATAATTACACTGTTAGATTAGTACAGAAGAATATCTCATGTAGGTATCTTGCATCTGCACTGAAATTCACTTAAGAGTTATGTAAGGACTCATTGCTAGTGACCATGTTGGTGACCAACATGTCAAAGGTAGGATGTTTTCCACTGGCTGCATAATGGACTGGCATTAAGTTTGTCCACATGGAAATCTAAACCTTTCACATTCTGCTCAGAAAGCAAAGGAGTTTTAATACTTCTGTAAGTGAATGAAAGGAGGGTATGCAGCATAATGCTGAAAGAGAAGGATGGTATCTGGTTTGCAAGAAGTAATTAGATGTGGTTTGATGGGCTTTGTCTTTAATATGGCTTCTAACAGGAAGAATTTGAAACATAAACAGTACTTTATGCTCTATTGGAGTTGTATTAGAACAGAGACCCTATTTTTCTTAGAATTCTGAATTATCTTTTCAGGGTGATTTTGAATAGCTATAAATTGGTGATTTGGGGGGGAACCTGAAGTCAACTTTTGTCAAAAAGTAGTGCATTGGTAGACTTGAATTTGTGACCTGGAAAGATGAGGCAGTAAGTTTTTGCTATGATTATACATAATGTCAAACTATGGATTTAAACTGGCCAGCTTTTCAATTCAACTAAACAATAAGTACAAGTCTTAATGGTCTGATTTGCTGGGAAGAGCATTGTTGAAATAATCTGGTTTTTCACAGTCCATATAAAGTATGAACTTGCATCAGTTATTATAAAGTTTGTGCTTTGGGAGGTGTTTTTGTGGCATCTAGGAGTGATGCTCCACATTTGTTGGAATCATTTGTTAATGATACTGTCTTGAAAAATGAGTTATTGCTTAAATACGTTGATTGTTTTGTGGTTTCTAGCACAGAAATTTTTAAGGAAAAGATAGTTGAAACCTGATGTGTTTTTTCAGCTGTATAAAATGAGGAGAAAATGGTGTGCATCTTAATAATTTTATGGTCCTTTTTCCTATGTGACATGAATGGGAGAGGTGAGAACTCTTAATTTTTAACTGAACTGAATTCAGGTTTCTAAATGTGGCCTGCTTGAGAACAGAGTACCATTACTGTAGTTGTCATGTAAAATGAAGTTGGAGTCTGAATCTCCTTTTTAGCTGTCAGCTTTATTAAGGAGCTACTGGTGTGTTGAACTAGGCACACACATTATATAAGTGGTGTGTGGTGGTGTCTGGGGGGAATTTTCTCTCTCTCCACTGCTGCTTTATTAGGTCCTGCTCACTCACTCTCTGCTGCCCTGTCTCGCTGCAGCTTTCTGGCTGCAGCTCACAGCACTGAGGGTCTAATGTAGATTGACGCCTTTGCCAGAGGACTGATTGAAACTTGTGTCTCGGAGTTGCTAATGCTCACTCAACCATTTTATTGAAGATAAAGTAAATAAAATAGATTGCCATATGAGAATTCTCTGAAATCAAATGGAATAATTTGACAGGTTTAAGCCCATGAAAAAGCCTGAGCATTGAAACAGATGGGAATACTTTTTATGCACAATATACCAGGAAAAGGTGTCTACTGGCTTGCTGTTACGCTGTTAATGGCTTCTACCAAAATTATAATTGTTGAAAATATCATTTTCATTGGTGTTTAAATTGTTAGTTCTCTAAAACAGAGAGATTATTTTTAATATAAAAGTAATGGATATACTGATTTTAGTTTCTTATTGCTTCTGATAGTTTGAGAGTGGTGATAGATAACCAGTCTATTAAAATGTAATTTAAAGAAATAAGAGTGAGTTTAGTATTTGAGAAAATGATTACTAAAAATCTGTAAAGTAACAATCTATTTTGCATTTCACAGAATTACTAAGTGACATAATTTTGAATATTACAGATAAAGTTGCTAAAAAAAGCCCTAACATTTCTAAAAGTATAGCAGTACAATACACAAGAACTATGAGGTACTAAAGGTATTGTGACAAACTGCTCAGCATAATGGTCAACAAGTCCCAAATATTCTTCTCAACATTATTTTATAAAGAATTTCTGTGCATAAGCATTGTAGTATGTCTGTGCTATTTTCAGAAAGAAGACCATATATAATAATATGTGACAAAAGACACAATAGATGACATATGACTATTTTTTTATCTGGATGAAAATGAGTATTGGTCTTTTTAGTCACATTAGTGGACCCCTCCTTACTAGTTGGACCACTTTTTCCAGAAAGTAAGACACACCTGTGTTTTAGTTTAATATATTAAGTTATGTCAAACTCAGAGTTAATAAAGGAA